GGCGCTTGCTGCCGGCGTTACCCGGGTGCCACCACCTTCATAGGGGAAGTATTTGTTGGCAGGGGAAGAGACAAGCCTTGAAATTAAGGGTTTTTTTCCCCCTGTTATCCTTTCTCCCAGGCTACACTGAGTGGGAAAAGCATTCAGGTAGGTGCATGCCAGCTTAGTATGCGTGGATGTGCGTGCATGTCTGAGCCTGCCAGCTTAGTACGCTGTTATGATGCTGGGTAGATATTTCTGACCATCGTGGTCCCTTCCAAGCTTAAAATACATCTACTCTAAATCCTGGTATTTGTCAGTCTGGTTCCCTGGTATTTAAATAATGAGCCTGTACTATTCAAAGCACAGAAGTACATGTACGTCTAAATACCTGATCTATCATCTGCTGCTCAGTGTGATTCTTATTGATAGCATTTTTCTTAGTTTAAAAATGCATTTCTATACCAGAATGTCACACAAATTGAGTTTTAGATAAACTGATAAGCCCCGCCACTACATTTGAACGTGCCAGTGTACCACCTGGATGCTGACTCCGGATAAAGGTCTTAAACCAGCCCAGAATAATGCTGGTTACCACAGTGCAGCTGCTCTTCTGCACGCGTTATGTGGCAGTCCCAGACTTTTGTTTAGCAGCGACATGGTTTGTTGCCTTCTCTCCTGATTCACCTCTGTGACTGAGACTGGAGCATCTGCATTTTTCCTTACACATTTTTCCTTTCCTGTATCACATGGAGGGCCCAGCATATCTCTAAGGGAACAGCCTTGCTACCTCTTTTTGTCTACCTCCAAGGCTGAGCAGCTCTATATAGACCTCAGGGTTTTTTCACCTACATTTCTTCTGGTACCCAGCAGCCAGCCCGAGCACTGCCACACTGTGTTGCAGTCTGTGGTATAGACATTATCTTCAAGCCAAAATAATTTCAACTTATGGTATTCTTTCCGAGGCACCCAATAGACAAATTCTCCCACAGGTATCTAGGAAAAAATTTTAGAGCTTGCTTCCAGAGCAATGGAGAGATAGGTAGGGTGTTGCAGCGGGGATGCTCACTCAAAAGCTGGCAAAACCCTTCTGGGTGCTGAGCAGGCTGTGAGGACATCCCCAACATGGGGGGAGCTCGGGCTCTGCCCAGCTTCTCTCTGCCAGGTTGCAGGCTATGAATAGCACGGGGCACATGTATCGCATTACTCAGCACAGCAGCCTGTAATTAAAGAACACTGAAGCCGTGACTCAAGTTCAGAGAGCTCAGCGGTGGCACCGTGGGCGACACTGGCACCGGGTGCAGAGACGAGCCCGGGGGCCCAGCTTCACACGCTGCCGTGGTGTTTCTCCTGCCCTCACCTCCCCTACCAGCCTCTCGC